CCAGGAAATAGAAGGATCAAGAAATAAAATTCACTGTTAATTGATCTAACTTCATGGTCATCAACATCCAATTCTTCAATAGTTCATAAAGGATACTGCTTTAATGAAAGGGGAAGGTTTCTTTGCTTATAGTAGTAATCTAAGATGTAACATCCTCCCCCCTGAAAAAAAAGCCTGTGAATTCAGTTCAGTTTCCATTTAGTGTACAGACACAGACATCTAAATGAAAATCTAGTCTGTCAGCTATTTTTCTTTCATACTCCAAAGAATGAATATGATGCTACTGTCAGGGATCTGAGTGCAAGATCTACAAACTCTTCCATCACTTCCTCGGGGTTTGCTATTTTCTATTCAAGATCAGGTCTGACAAGATGAACCTTGGATAAGATGTTCAGAAGAAAAGCAAAGTTAATGAGAAAGAGTTTTGAGGAGCTAGGATGGGGCTTCAGGCCCTGGCTTGGGAGCTGCATCAGAGCTCTGGCCCATGCTTGGACCAGGCTGCTGAGTTGGGATGGCCTTGCATGACTGCCATGACCTCCCTCAGCTTGGCTCGACTGGCCCCAGTCCAGCACTCCTGCTCTTCCCCTCCTGCCAGGGCACTGGGAGGCTGCACCTGGGTGCAACTCTGTCTCCCCAAACCCTGCCCCTGCCCAACACCATGATCTGCTGCTCTCTGAGAATTTAAAAGTGACTACCCCATTTGGGATTCTGCCTATGTAACAGCTTTCCAAAGATGAACACTTTTAAATTAAGGTATTTCTTTCTGTTCCTCCTCAAAATCTTTCCTACTGCAATACCTTTTTGGTTGTATCACTTGATCAGAAATTGAGTCTGGAGTCCTTAAAGGTGTTATTTAATAGAAAGGAGCTGGGTAGAGTCCAAGCAGTTGACTACACAGGCCCAGCCCAAGGATCAGTGAAGTATTATTCATAAAATTAGTATTATTCATAAAATTATTTGGTAGCACGGCCTTTTGAAAAGCTTTGGCACAAGTCAGATACTATTTTTCCATATATTTTAGGGATCAAAATGGATTAGGAATAATTCCTAAGAGGTAGTTTAGATTCAGTTATTTGGTTTGGGAGTTTAGAACATTCAAACAGACAATTAATTATGTGGCTATACTGCACCTCAGGGCCAAAAAACACGTCCTGGACAATTTTACTTATAAGTGATCCTATGAATGCAAGAATTATGAAGTCACCAGAAGCCAGCAGAAGAGCAGAAAAGAGGCAAAAGAATAACTGTGACCACAATTATCTTCTTGCGTTTTCACATTTTATATTTCACCATCACTGCATAAAAATGGCAAAAGCTGTCCAAGGCTGCAGGGCCAAAATCTGGAAAGGACCACAGCATGTCACCTGGTCCAACCTCCCTGCTCAAGCAGGGTCATCCCAGAGCACTTAGCACAGGATTGTGTCCAGACAGTTCTTGAATATCTCCAGTGAGAGAGACTCCACGGCCTCTCTGGGAAATCTGTTCCAGTGTCTGCCCACCTGCACAGTACAGAATTTCTTCCTCATGTTCAGGTGGAGCTTCTTGTGCATCAGTTTCTGCCCTTGCCTCTTGTCCTATTGCCTGGCACCACCAAGCAGACCCTGGTTCATCCTCTTGACATCCTCCCTTCAGACACTGATAGACACTGATAAGGTCTCCCTCAGTAATCCTAAGGCTGAACTGGCCCAGCTCCTTCAACCTATCCAAAAACTCAGGACTCTCCCAGACTAGTTAGATGTAGAAACTGTATTTAGTTTCTACCAAGTGTAGAGTTCCCGAAATAGATAAGAGCTTCTGGGCCTCTGAGATCTGATGTTAACAGGATTGTAATGGGCAGATTTCTACAATCTAAAGTTCATAACAGATAGGAAAGTTTCCACCCTTATCATCAATTTTTTTATCTCTGGTTGTTTTTTGAAACATGTGTTCCTAAATTTTTCTGCACAAATGTTCTCCACTCATTAAAACCAACGGTGGTTTCAGCTCTACTTTTAGCAACAGGGGTCCAAGGCTCCAAAGCTCAGCTCAAGGCAAGATGAAAAGAACATTTAAAAAATAAGGTTTAAAAAATAAGCTACAGATTATCTATTTTGCCACATATTTCAAGGGTTTTCACTGTATTAAATATAAATGCAACAGTTACAAAATGCCAAGTATGGAAAAAGGCACAAAAAGAAAAAATAGCAATGGAAAAATATATATTCACTCTCTCAGAGTAGACCAGGACAGAGCCAGAAATGATGATGTTATCAGGTTTCTTTCTATGAATATTGTAAATTCCCATGTCCTGGTGCAAGGAGAGATTATGACCCTGGTTAATGAGGCTGAAGCTGGTCAATGGAAGTATGAAGAGATGGCAGCTGCACTGCCAGTGCCACCATCTAAGAGCAGCCAAGCACTCAGAAGTTAAACATCTGAAGCAGATAATAAATTCATTAATCAAATTAGCTCAAGACAAAAGAGGCATCTCCAGCAGTGTCCTCTAATCACAGTTATATAAAAGTTTGGGGTTTGTTGGTTGATAGGAGTTTTTTGTACGTGTTTTCTTTTTTTAAATCAACTTCTTGACACTATTGTAAAATGGACTGAGGAGAAACTGAGGGAAAATTTCCTCCTGAGGGGTAGTGGTAGAGCACAAAGCACTGATGAGACAGTGTACAGTGAAGAGAACAGAAATGAAAAAAAGAAATGGTTGCTGGAAGTGTGTTGAACAGAGGTTGGGAAGAGAGGTGAATTGTAAGGGATTGTAAATGCTTCAGCATGAGACAGAATACTCTCATTGAGCAGACTTGCAAAACCATGGGGGATCGCCAATAAAATGGTTAAAATTTGGCAGGAGATACTCCTGTTTTGAAGGGCAGAGCCTTTCCTATACCCAGACTCCATCCTTCTGCACCTGCAGTTTGCTGAAGCAGTCTGTTCTCCACCGTTTTGCATGGAAAGGATGAAATAATGCTTTGTTTGTTTAGAGCTAGCTAAAAATTACTCCACATAGCCTTGATGATTGGCAAACGTGGGAAGTGTGAACTGTGCGAGTGCAACCTAAAAAGATGCAGACTTTAAACGGGAAAAATGTAAAGTGTTTAGAAAACAGAAACTGTCGATCAAGGTCTACAGAAAATGGCTTTCAACTTGGACAAGCTTTAAAAATGAAGCACATTAACAGTTATTAAAAAAAAATCAAAATATTTAAACACTGTTTTACAGCCTTAGCTCTAAACCTATTAGAGTGTCCTCATAATTTAATTTAAAATGTTGCAGTTGGTGAAGGTCATGCTGTAAAAGAACATATAATTTCTGACAATCATTAGGAAAGTATTTACACAATTCTAGAGATAAATAACATCCATCTGTTATGTTCAGTCCTCTGAAACTTTAAAAAGCATGTATTAGAAAACAATCTTTATTTTTAATTTTTTTTTCAAATTATCTTTCTGATTCTACAGACCATAAATGTTGCATCCTTAACTGCTGCAAAGCAGCTTAATTCCTGTGAGTCTCAGGCTGTAACCCCTGAGTTTATGAGACATGGGAAGTCTGTAATCATCAATAGATTAGTATAACTGCCACAAAGAAAAAATAACTGATGTCAGTCTTTGAATTTCACTAACACATCTTTCTTTTTTTCCTCCATTTATGATGTGATGCCTTTTCATATGTTAAAAAATAATGAGAACAAAAAGATGTCATTCTAGAAAAACAGCTATATCAATATTTGAATGGAAAAAGAAAAGATCATTCAAAGTAAACACATTTATCTAAGAAATTCCACATTTGATCAATATGAACATAGGTATACAGCTTGGACCTCGAAAAACTGAAATTCACTATTTTTAAGGATGTGTATTTCTCTGTAATGAGACTGAAGTGATTATTGTTCTCAGTTAACTAAACCTGAAGGCTGACTGGGAAAAGGACAGCAGCAAAGAGAGATATTATCCATAAACACTGGAAGCAAAAATACTTATGGCTAGATGACAAAACTATTTTCACTGCAATGAAATAAGTAGATTTACTTCCAGCTAAAAATGGTACTTTAATATAATTCACAGCTGAACCAAAGAATGTCATTAGATTTTTTTTTCATGAAGTGTCTTAAATATTTGAATTCTCACTTCTCAGAAGTTCACACTACGAACATAGAAGGACCAGGTTACCATCCCATCATTGATACTGCCTCACAGGGGATAGAGGAGTCAACAAATAATTTCTGAGTTCCATTTTCACAATGTGCAAAATTAGATGCAAAATTGACTATTGTTAGTAGCTACTACAGATGACAGATTTTTAGATTTTATTATTTACATTTTTGGATGAAGTGGACTGCTACTGCCAGACAGTCTCATTTTTTTACTTAAGACAAGCCATAGCATGTCTTCTAGCCACGTCTGAGAACAACCCACAACTGCTACTTTGTCCAGATGTGGAAAGACAGAGTCATCTCACCTACTGCCAAACATCCAACATTCCAACTTCACATCTAGGCGACGGCAAGAGACAGGGACCTCCTTAAGGCACTTCATGCCGTTCTAAAATAGGAGGTGCAAGAGGCAAGATTACAGCCCTCTGCAAATGCCTCTCTCTCCTCATCTAAAGGAAACCCAGGATATCAGCTAGGACCGCACAGGTGCAATTTGAGGTTGCTGAAGTGAGGTGAGGGTCCCCGACTTCCAGCCTCGAGGGACAGAGCAACTCTTAGCCACGTGCGCCCCTCCTAGGCGGGTTAGTTTGGCAGAAATTACCCCCCCCCCCCCTTTCTTTTTGTATTTATTTTTTATTTCATTCTTTTTTACTTCTGTCCGATGCAGTGGTAGCTTGGCAGTGGCTTCACGCGGTGGGAACGATCTCCAACCCCCTTTCCCCTGGACGCCCCGCCTGCCGCAGCCTCGGGGCTGGCCGGAGCAGGCAGAGGGTCGGGGCCCGGCGGGGGGGGCCCGGCGGGGGCAGGAGCGGCGCCGCCGCTACTTATCCTCGCCGGAGGGGCCGGGCAGCCCAGAGCGGCGCGGGCGGAGCAGCCGGGTGGCGGCGGCGTGCACGGGTGGCGCTTCCTCTGCGGCGCCCATGGGGACAGGACGACTTTAAAGGAGTTTGGGGGGGTTCTGGCGCTGGGCGACCACGGGTACGGAGGGGGACGGGAGGGACCCCTCGGGCAGGGGGTGCTGATCGCCTGCTCTTTGCCTTTGCCTTGCGGGGTCCCGGCCGGGCTGCCGGCACCGGGCGGGCAGGGCTGGCAGCTCCGGGGCCGTGCGCTCCTCCTGCCGCCTCCTCGCACGCAGCGCTGCCCGGCGCGGTTCGGCTGCGCACCGCTGGAGGGAGGGCTCGGGACCCTCCGGCCGGAGCCTCCCCGAGCCCCCGGAGCCCTCTCCCCTCACAGAGCGGAGACTCCCGGTGCAACTCCGTCCCCCCGCTCGGAGGCGCGGACGGCGGGGAGGCTCCGCTCCTGGCGCTCGGAGCCGGCGCTCCTGAGTCGGGGCTGTGCCCTGCCCCGCACCCCAGGGGTAGGGGGAAGGGTCCGCACTGGGAGTTTCTCCCTTGTACGAAGGAGAGGGAAGTAGTCGGGGAGGGATGGGGGCTTAGGGCGGAATCGCTGAAATCTTTTGTATGTGCCTTGATTTTTTTTTTTTGTTTCGTTCTTTCTTTCCTTCCTTCTGCGTGCGCTCTCCTTCCCATCTCTTGTTCTTCTCTGTGTCTGCCCACCCCACCCTCCTTTAGATCCGGCGATTTCTGCCCTCGCCTCGCCCTGTCATTGATGGGAAATCAACTGGATCGCATCACCCACCTGAATTACAGCGAACTGCCGACCGGGGACCCCTCGGGGATCGAGAAGGACGAGCTGCGCGTCGGGGTGGCTTACTTCTTTTCGGATGAGGAGGAGGACCTGGACGAGCGAGGCCAGCCAGATAAGTACGGCGTGAAGGGCTCCGGCAGCCCTGGGCAGGAGACGCCCACCCACCACCTCCACCATCAGCTAGTGCTGAACGAGACTCAGTTCTCCGCTTTCCGCGGCCAGGAATGCATCTTCTCCAAGGTCAGCAGCGGCCCCCAGGCTGGGGACCTCAGCGTCTACTCGGTGTCAGCCCTGCCAGCCCTCTGCAAGCCGGGAGACCTGCTGGAGCTGCTCTACCTGGGGCCGTCGGAGCACCCGCCGCCGCACTGGGCCGTGTACGTGGGCGGCGGGCAGATCATCCACCTGCACCAGGGGCAGATCCGCCAGGACAGCTTGTACGAGGCGGCCGCGGGCAACGTGGGCCGGGTGGTGAATAGCTGGTACCGCTTCCGCCCGCTGGTGGCGGAGCTGGTGGTGCAGAACGCCTGCGGGCACCTGGGCTTAAAAAGCGACGAGATCTGCTGGACTAACTCCGAGAGCTTCGCCGCCTGGTGCCGCTTCGGGAAACGGGAGTTCAAAGCCGGGGGGGAGCTGCAGGCGGCTGCTGGCACCCAGCACCAGCAGCAGTACTATCTCAAAATCCACTTGGCAGAGAACAAGGTGCATACGGTGAGGTTCCACAGCCTGGAGGATCTAATACGCGAGAAGCGCAGGATCGATGCCAGTGGCAAACTGAGGGTGATCAAGGACCTGGATATAGTGGATGGGAAAGAATAGGGAGGAGCAGGAGTACGTGGCTATCTTCCTTCTGCCCTGCCCGGGGAGACCAGCCTGCTGTAGAGTCAGGAGGCTGCACCCTCCTTCCGTGGGACGCGACTGGAAGCAGGATCCATGGCAACATTCCAAAAAAAACCAGCATTCTTTACACTCATAGCCAGTATTTTGTTTGGCTTTTAATAGCATTAATGCTGAAAGAGCGAGAGAGAGGAAGAAAAGAGGGGGGAGGTGCAGGAAGGCTGTTCTCAGAGTATGTGGACAAAGTCTCTCCTGTCAATTGATGTTGACCATTCTAGCAACATGCCAATAAAATTTCAAATTGAAATTTCTTTTTAAATTTTTATTTCATGGCTTTAATCCATGATAAGTTTTAAGCATCTGGGACTGTGGATGTGGATGTAGCTAAATGGCATTTTAGCTAATATTTGCCTTGTGGCCAACCAAAAGCATCAGTCATACTTTGCTAACTGGGAGAGAAAGGGGGTGTTGGGGTGGAGGGTAAATGCCTGTTTGTTTGTTTTGTTCCTCCACACTGCTGCTTCAGTCTATAGCTGCAACCCAAATTTTGTCCCAGCCAACTCTGGCAAGCTATTTTCTAGGAAAAAATAATTTCACATTTCTCCTTGAAATCTATCACATTTAAAATATTTGCCTTTGCTTTCTGTTTGCAGCTCTCTGCTAAATATCATCATAATGCATGAGCTCTTTCCACCTCTTCCCTCCTCCCACCCTCCCTGCCTTTTTTTCTCTTTTTTTTTAATTAAAAAAAAGTTGGTGAGCAGCTGTTTTCCTAAAACTAAATTAATGCTTAAAAGGAAGTGGTGTATTTTGGAGAACTTTGAGTATACTCAAAGATCCAGCCACTAGGATTTCATGCTTGAGCTGTGGATTTTGTACCACTGCTTCGATATCTCTTCATACACAGGTCAATAGAATCCTGCAAGAAACAATTTTGAATTCTGCATGTTGCCTCTTTGGAACAGCAAGATATTGCATATTTACAATTCCACTTAAAGAAATAGATGTAATGTGGCCAAGTTCATCTTGCATTTCAAATTCCCAGGAACTAAAAATCCTGTTCAGTGTAAGTTTAGAAAGCCACAGCAGCATTTAAAAGATGCCTTTTAATGTGATGTGAGCAATGCCTTTTCTGTATTTCAGATCCTGTTCACTCATTGCTTAATTCTAAGTTTTGAAGTGAAAGATCAGAAAATTAAATATATTTTTTAAAAATCTAAAGTATACTGGGGCATTTCTTTTTATTATTCTGAGCTGCATACAACTTGTAATTTTGTCTTTGCATGTTTCAGTGCTGGAAAGAAAATGCATTTGGTTTTGTTCTCTCTTCCCACATCAATGTCAGATGACAGAAGTAATAGCCCTATTTTGTATATATATGATACACTCCACCCCCTATCGATGTACTGTGTCCCAACTTTTTTTTTTTGTATTAAACAATGTCATAAGCAACCTTGTTGCAACAGTAATTTCATTTCTACAAAGCATTTCCCTACTATAGCTGAAGATGCGAGGGTGGAGTGTACTTCATTATAATAAAGTCTTAGCATAAATATCTTTAAGAAAAAGAAAACAAAAACCTGTACCCCCAAAACTACACCTCTTCATTGAAGGTCATCTAATTGGCTTTGTCCTTGCTAACACATGTGGCACAATTATGTGGTAATAGGCAGTGTTTCTTTTATCACTTTCCCTAAAGTACCTTGCTTAGTACAATATAGGGTAAAAATGTGAATTGTAATTACTGTCAAATACCATTGAAATAGCCTCAAACCATGTCCTGGTTTTTGATAATTGTATAATATTTTAGCTTTATGTAGGCAGTGGTGGCTGTCTGATGATAACTTTTCCCATAACATGAACAGAATCTTCTACCTAGCATTTATGTATCTTATTGTTGAGCATTAGATTGCCTAAACCCTCTGTTAGAACTGATTTCCCTGTACCACTTGGTGGGAGCACTGTGGGATTGCAAAAAGGCGTTGGGTTTACAACAAGGCACTTAGAAAACATTAAAAAATGTTAGGAGAAGGAAAGCTGGGCAAAAGCAATTAACTTGATTTTTTTTTTTTTTTCCTTATAAAAAATAGGCCTTAGAGACCTGAGGTTGCAAGAGGCAGGGAGAATTAAATGAAGAGGGAATAAGTACCAGAATGTTTATGAAAAAAGAAAAATAAGATAGAGTTACAGTGTGATTTTTGATTTCTGCAATGCTATTTCTTCAAATGGCTGTTAGATAAGTGGGATTAGACAGTGGTTCCTTGGAAGAACAGTATTTTATGTCCTCACTAGTGGGAAGTCAAAACATACTAAATTTAAACTTTTCCCTGTGCTTTCTGAATACTCTTTCACTCTAAACCCCATTATAACGGTGGATTTTTTTGCAATGATTTAGTAACCTGGTTCATAAACATGATGATTTTCCTTGTCTTACCCACCTAGATGTAGAATGGAATTTTGTAGTATATAAAAGAAATTATAGGAACTAGTGTATGCTTATTTATTCAAGCTCTGTCAGAGACCTTTGGCATCACTCTGAATTTATACAAATAAAGGTACAACAATGTAAGGCCTTAGTCCTTTACATAAGGACTGGAGAAAATACACTGGAAATAGTAAGAGCTGGTATTAACCAAGGATATACTATTGCCATGACTGTGTTCAAGTTGCAGTCTGTAATTAGCAACAAGGGTACGAATACAGTTTCTTTTGTTATTTTTCTTTAGCTAGATTTCAGTCCAGAGCTACTGGCAGTAATCTGGTCCTGATTCATAGCCCATTGAAGTTAATGGCTCTTGCTGACCAGTGAACTTTGCATCAGATTGTTAGGAGGTGGTTAAAATTTGTGGAGCTTGAGGAAGGGTGAGATTTAAGATGACACTTCAGAGACCAGAAGAGCCACCTTTCTGAGCTGGGATACTGTGGACACAGGTAGCTGAGGAAATAAGGGAAGAAAACAGACAAGTTCTGAAACAAGCAGTGTTAACCTGAGATGGCAGTAGGGAATCTGTTAAAAAGACTGAATGAAAAGTGGATAGAAAAACTTGTTCAGTGCCTTGAAACAAGAATTGGAAGACAGGAAACAGCTACAAGAAAGGCAATGATGCGAATGACTGACAGGTAAAAAATGTAATTGATTGTATTCATCATTCAGGATCAGTGGGCCTGGCAGAGTTAACATTTCCATTTGCAGCACTAAAGATATTGAAAAATTGTATTTTATCTCTGGAATCTGTTTGCATTCTGTGGTCTAGCTACCTAGGGTAAATATTTATATCTCATTCACTGCTTTTGAAGTACTGACTTGTAATATGACAGCAATGTCAAGATGTTTTGCAGTCTTTCTTCCGTGTCACGTTTCAAAGCTTTCTGTTAGGTATTTGAGTAACAGTTCTATAGAATTTCTTTTGCTTAGATATGATTCTCTTCTCAAAATGCAATCTTTTGAATTGCTTTGAGACTTAACATTTTATTAAAAAATTCAATTCATGTCCTCTAGAAACACAGAGAGCATTTGTGAAATGTTTTCCTGTCATGACCAGAATGTTTACTGCTTATTGGCTGTGCATACTGGGAGAGGACTCTAAGGATGGGTAGCAAAATAGGTTTTGCTACTGTCAGATTTTGTCTCCATCTTCATCTTATGTCTCCGGAGGACTTTGTTTTCATTTTCTTAGGATTCTTTTTCTCCATTATGGTTGTATAAAATGTAAAAAAAAAAAAAAAACCCAAAAAAACCCACCCCACAACCTAAACCAAAACCCTCATAGAATGCTTTTTATGGCATATGCTACTGATCCATATAGTGGATTTCAGGTTAAAAGCAGGGGGTAACAAGACCGGCCTTCAGGGTGTGACAAGAAGTGGCCCTTGGTCTCTGCTAGAATGTGCACATTCTTGGTTCTCTTGCCTCATTTCAAGTGTCTTTCATATTCAGGTAAGTAATGTGCAAAACTGCCAGAGTTTATAGAGCTGTTTATGCGATGTATTGAACATCTGTAATTCCAGCCGTGTCTGCTGGATTTGAGGCAATGCTGCCTCACACAGAGCATCTTGGATCAGGTGCCTCGGCCTGCCAAGCTCCCCACTCTCTGCAGCTGCAGTTGATGTAGTGGTCTGGGGAAGCTACTGCTGATTTCAAGATTTAGTTATTTTCTGTGAAAGATTTCTACTAGAGTAGTGTATGGACAGTATCCTGCTCATAATTATACTTGGATGTAGCTAAAACATTCTATGTGCTGCTGCTTATGGTGTGAAAACACTCTGCTTCCTGCTTTATAACCCAGGAGAAAGATAGAAGTTCCATTGCCAAAGTAATCCAGAAATACTTAAGGAGGTATGATTGGGGTGCTATGCTGAGGGAGTTTCACTGCAGAATTAAGGTCTAAAGGATAACTCGACTAGAGTGTGATCAAGTGCTGCTGTTAGTCAGTGTTTCCATGGCAAGTGTGGAATTTATTTGCTTGCCTTATTATTATAAAATATTTAACTTTTCTGTCCTATGAGTTCAAATTTAATATGTGAAGCTGCCCTATCTTCTGACTGAATATTAGTTAGAGGTGTCAGAGTTTTTTACAAGTTTATTGTCAAGAAAATTAATGTGTACTGACTGGGAACAGATACTTTACTGAACAGATAGTAAATCAAAAAGAGTAGTGTAGATGTTAGGCTGAAAAAAGGGAATGAACTAAGAATCTTCTGTTACTGGGCATAGCCACAGATTTTTTTTCCAGATTATATAGATATAATCTATACAGATATAAACTGCCAGTGCTGTATTTTCCTAAAGTGGTTGTGGCATTCTGCATTCTCTCTTTTTCAAAATACTATTATCAGTCTAAATAATCCAAATCCCCTGTAAAATTCTAATTTTTATATTGAAATTCCATTGAAGCTAACAGTTACTTTATTCATATTTGTCTTTGCGAAATGAGCTAAATTTTTTTGTTAAATGATTTATAATTGAGCAGTTAGTAATATGCACTTTCATTTTTTAATTTTAAATATTTTGGATTAAGCACAAATGTATTTAAGTTGATACATCCAGAGAAATGATAGAACATCGATTAGCAGAGTCCATTCAGATTAAGAATATGGTTGTTTGGGGTTTTTTTCTTATTTTAATTATGGAACCTTGGGGCATCTCTGATTCTACAAATGATGCTTGTATGTAAAACTGTTTGTCAGATCAGGATTTTTAAAATAAAAGATCTGTCCCCTTCATGTGGCATTAACTTTGGGCCAAAATTAGCCAACTAATTGACTAATTAGCCAGGATCAGGATTTAGCCAGGATCAAGACCTCAGCAACAACCTCCTATGGAATTTAATGGAAGGCTCACGTGTGTGATATCTACCATAAGGGCCTTAAATTACATTTCTTACTTGTACATATAGTAATCATCTATGCAAATTGGCATTTTCCTAGGTAAAGCGGGTTAATGCTTTTCAAACATCCCTTGGACTTCTCTTGTGTGTCTGTGTAGGTAGATGTGTTGGGCACAAATACAAAAACTGGAGTTTATTGCTGTAGAGCTAATATCTCCAGCTCTTTTGACAGGAACTCAGGTGGAATTTGGAACCAGTGTGGCTACAGCAAGAAAGGGTGGAAGAATTTGCAGTTAAAACTTCAGGCTGTTCAAGGAAGACACTCAGAGCTAACCTTGAAATTCCATTCTTTCTCTTCTCCAAGGTGCAAGAGGGTGAGTGGCTGTGCACCCCTCACATATAAAACCATTTACACTTTGGAAATCCATGCTACTGCCTAGGCAAAATAGGGTGAATAAAATATGCAGTGTCTCATCAGCCTTAAAAAGCAAACAATTTTTCACAGTTTAAATGCTATTTGGATACAGTGTGGCACTGGCAATACATTTTGAAAAGTCCCATTTTTAAGCTGATAAACTAAACAGCATAATGTTTATAAATGGAAAACCTCAGTAAGCCTTCTTGTTAATCTCTATACAGCAGAGGTGAGAGCTTGTTCCCAGTTTATGTAAATAAAAGAGTAACCCTGATTCAAGGAAATTATTATGGGGTAGAATTTGGAAATAAATTAAACAGTCCAACTCCAGGTTTAGTTGTGATGTGACACCGTCACTACTGCAGGTGAATAAACAGCAAATACCTAACAGTGTGAATAAATACCAACTTCTGTATTGTGACACTTCTTCACAGCAGAGTATTTTATGCCACAGAAGGAATATTCCTTGTATGTT